CCCAGAGCTCCAAGCCCAGATGTTCTTCAACCGTCCTCCCTGCACTTTGTTACGCAGCAGAGACATGGCCTAACACTGTGGCTACGTCGAAGGTACTCGAACACACACAGAGCGCTCGAACAACGTCTTTTGAAGTACAACTGACGCACTCAGCTCGTCGTACTTCGTAGTTTAGGTATGAGATCCTCTCGTCTTCACGGTCCAGCGGAGTACGTCTCTAAAGCAAAACATTGATGAACAAAGAACCCTGGAATGGATTCCTCAAAGCAAAACCCTTGAGAAAGGCTACCTACCAGATGGGCTGACGTATTCATGAATAAACCAGGAACTCTCAGCTGGCAACGACCAATGGATCTGGATCTCGCGAACTTCGCTGTCGCAGTTCAATAATAACAATAATATCAATGCCACTGGCAAGAGGCAGAAACGAATGGAATCAATGCTGGGCCTGCGCGAGTTAAGGCAGACCATCTAAAGATCTAAACAAATATACGTAAATTTCTTCTAGTTTTGTTTGATATGAAAGAGTTATGGCGATGCGACGCCTTTTTTGTTTCGAAATGTACCGCTGGCACCGATGGTAGAAGGCGCTATCTTTTACAGCTATGATTCTGAATGTGAAAGTTAATAGGAATGAATTTAAAGAAGTCGAATTTCATTTCCAAAATAGCCAAAAACAAGAACCTGAAAAAACAAGTAGGCTAACCTAATGCGGCTTCAGCTTGAGAATTTCGATACTGCGCTTGAGCAGATGTATTGCACAATGCTGATTCGAAATCTATTCTTATTATCTTTAGAGCGTCCTTCTGGAAGAAGTTATGGACATAGCTGCATATCGATAGAGTAATTTTTATAGCCGAGCCTACAACTTGCTATTTATGCCTTAGAGCAATTATTTGTACACGATGCAAGGTCTTTATGAAGAATTTTTACAACTTTTATAAGTTAAAACTTTGGTATACATGAAAAACAGAATGCTTAGCACTTCACGTTATACCGATGTATCGCTTTAAAATCTTCACTTCGACCAGTCCTTTTTGTAAGTGCAAATCAAGATGTATATTTGAGGGAAGCCGGCACTGAAAAGCCTCAAAAGTATACCGATCTTGACAAGTTATAAGTAGAGTAATTCAAAATATTCGCCTAAGTTTGCAAAATGAGGAATGTGGCAGACAAGATTAATTGGGAAGGCCCTTCACAAGGAGGATGGCAGAGGGATGATTTTCAATAAAAGAAAGTTCTTTGTGCCTATGGAAGATTTAACCAACCATATGTCGCTATACAAACGATATTTTATATGTATGAGTCTACTGCGTCACGCTAAGGTTCGCCTTAATTCTTTCACTTAGCTCAATAGGCTTATTTTATCAGAAATAGCAGAAAACACTAAAATTATGTGCTATTCCCTCAAAATGCAGAAGCGTAAGAATGTATCCGATTGACAATTGAAGTTTGGGATACTGAAAGGGACAGGACCTATA